TACTAAAACATAAGCATTTTCATATTATCACAAAAATTTTGCAAACACTGTGGAATTAGGACGTTGGCAGCACCAGCCATAATTTCTCCACCTTCCATCTGGAACTCACCACAATTTTAGACTCCAGGCCCTAAAATTTTCTGATTCTTCATGCCCTTCCCAAATGGTTCTCACTGTATCTTCTTCGTGGAATCCTCTGTCTACCCTTAAAAAGTTGGTTCTGCCCAACGTTCTGTCCTCAGACCACTGCTCTTCATATGCTGCAAAGCCTTCTTGGGCAATGTCATCCCACCTCATGCTTTGAGCTACTACGTTGTACACTGAGGAGCCTCCAATGTTTCCAGTCTGACATCTCCACTCAGTTTCAGATTCCTAACCCTAATGGAAAGGTCCTTGGGCAGCACAAGCAGCGTGCAACGGGGTACTAACTTAAAGGTCGGCAGCTCAAACCCAACCAGCAGCTGCACGGAAGAAGGCCTGCTGATCTGCTTCCATACAGATTATAGCCAAGAAAACCCGATGGGGCAGAACTCTCTGTACACATTGGGCACCACGAGTCCAAATCAACTCTGCAGCACTGGGTTTTGTTCCGTTTCTATATCTCAGGGAGGTAGTAAAATATAAGAGATTTTTTGCCACTATTACCTCAAAACTCAGCACAATATTTAATGAGGGAATGCACCTTAGATGCTCATGTTCTTGTTGTTAGGTGCTGTCAAATCAGTTCTGACTCAGAGACCCTATGGATAACAGAACAAAATGTTGCCTGGTCCTGTGCCACCCTTACAATAGGTATGTTTCAGCCCATTGTTGCAGCAACTCTGTCAATCCATCTCATTGAGGGTCTTTTTCACTGACTTTCTACTTTACCAAGCATGATGTCCCTCTCTAGGCATTGGCTTCTCCTTATAACATGTCCAAAGGAAGCAAGTCACCATCTCATCATTCTTGCTTCTAAGGAGCATTCTGGCTGTCCTTCCTCCAAGACAGATTCGTTTGTTCTTCTGGTGCTCCCAAAAAGAACATTTAATATTATTCAACAACACATAATTCAACTTTTGCATGAATATGAGGCAACTGAAAATATTATGGCTTGGGTCAGGCAACCTCTAGTCCTCAAAATGACATCCTTGCTCATAGATACATCACACTCATTGTCCTCCAGTATAAATTCATTGACTTTCTCCCAACCTACTTCCTCTAAATTTTCTCTTACTTGGCGGCATTATTATCCCTCTGATCCTGGTGCTACCACGTCCAATCTCCAGGATGTAACTTCTCCCACCACCCATAAAATGTTTCAGAACACTTCATATCAAACCATTCTAGCCCCTCTAGTCTACATGATGCACAGACATCTATTATAGTTACCACTAGAACAGCCCCTCCTCTTCGTTCCCACTTCTGTAAGCATTCTGTGCATACATCTTTTTCTTCTTGGTACTCACCACGGAGTTTTTAAGTCTGTCTCTA